GGTTGGCTGAAAGGAAGCGTTTCATATGAATCGTGGTACCGTCCGGGCATTCAAAGTCGCCATGGAGTAGTGGTAGTGCTTTCGAAAGTTGCACTCTAACGGAAAGGAATGCACGACGTCCCGGCTGGAAAGCGAAAGCACTACCACTACTTCACTGCGACTCTGAAAGCCTGGAGCTAGCACGGTTCATATGTAATGCTTTACTTCCAACCAACTTTGACTGCTCACAACTTCCTTGGCAGGTTCATTTTGCAGTTTTAGTTTCCATATTTGTAATCAGCGTTTGAAGCTCTATCGATATATCTGGGTCTCAATCTCAAAGTTCCATGGGAAGTTGAATGCCTTTCCTGGTCAAGATAGTGCTACTGGTCGACCGATCTGCATTTGAGCAGGGAGCTTATGTACTACTGCAATCAATTGTCTCAGAAAATCATGCGTGAATTTCCTGATCTCCATACCACAATATCTTCCAGCAAATTCTAATTATACTTACGTAGGCAATGGGGAGGATATTTTGTGTGGTAACTTCTTATCCACCCTGGTCGCCTGTGAGCTCAAAGTGAGAAAGAAAAGAGCTATCTTCTACAATAATGCTAGTGGAACAAAAACTTTCGCCCCAGGCGGGACTAGAAGAATCACCTCTAGCTTTGAAACTAAACTAACCTCGCTCAGGAGACTACAGAATGGAAAAAAAAAAACCTCGTTCGGGAAGGCTATCGATGTCTGACTTGGACAGGCTGCTCTTGAATTCAATCCGCACGGGAACCTGCTATGTAGTCATCACACCTTAAATGTTTCAAGCACATTCACAGAGGTTCTCCTCCCTTAGTAAGAAGGTTGGAGCTTTGCCAAAGATTTCCTAATGAGTACTTTTTGATGACATAAGTGAAACACGAGTCGCCTAATAGATTGTTTTTAACTTCCACCGTAGGTCAAGGGAACAAAGCCGCTACTGCAGTTGAGAAGTGCAGGTTCATGACAACCACCACATTCGGGAGCCTCAGTGCTGGATAAGCAGAAGAGAGTGAAAATGAACAATGTCACCACAAGGTCATGCTCTGCCTTTTTTGAAGCGTTCTCGAGTTATCCACTAGAAACATCTCCCTCGTTACAGCTATGAATTCAGTCACGTCACCAACGTAATCGACAACACAAGCTCAGGGCAAAGCTCCAAAATCTGTCTTTAAAACTAGAATATGTCCTTTCAAAACAACGCGAGACCACGCTTTAGACCAAATGGACGCCTAAGCTGAATCACTACCATCCAACGAAACAGCGGTGTCCGTCCTTCTAGAAGACATTGCTGTTTGCGTCAAGCTGGAGAACGGGCGTTCGTCCTCCTGGGGCCGCCGCCGCGCCGTCGCACGCGGCGATCGACGCGGCGAAGGCTGTGGTGGTTGGATGTAGCGGTGTGATTTATTAGCTGTGGAAACAATATGGGTTTTAGCCCTCTTCCACTCTTTTGGCTGTTGGAGTGAAAGTTCGTTAATTTTATCGATTCGTTACTGCCGAATGAGCAACTTAGGCGCTGTTTGAGTGACCTGTTTAATTTGGCTGACCCCCTTCTCCCCAATGGCGTGAAAGAGAGTAGATCATGCAGTATGGCGATATGTTTTCACATGATGCCCATTCTACATGACGTTAATACGCAGTTTACTACTATGGTTCGTTCACTCAGACTGTTTCAGAAAGTTCCAATGTTCTCCGCAGCGTTTCTTAATTTCCAAACTTAATTTCTGGCCGCTCATGTCCATGGGAGACATCAAAGTGGAAGAGCCTTACTGTGCTTGGGACAAGCCACCTCGTCACTTGACAATCAAATGTGAAGGCTGCAACGGTGGACAACAGCATGGACTAGTAAAAACCTCCACATCGCAGAATCGCCGCACACGCGACGAGCCCGATCGCCGCGTGCGGCGGCAGCCTGACCCCAGGAGGACTAACGCTACGCACCCCAAACCCTCATCTTTGTGAGATTGAGCGACCACTTCTCGGATTCCTTGCGTGGCACAGCCCAATTCCCCTGAACTGATGAACGCAGCACATATGGTGCAAGATAGTGCATGTCTGAATAGAGAAGCTCAGAACGAAAGTTCAATACGCGAACAACTTTTTGACGTGACTAATGCACTCACATCCCGAACTATGACTAGGGTTGGAATCGTACTAGATGATTTCATTTCCCTCTTCCTCTATTTCACTGCTTGTCGACTTTGGAACAAAGGGTCACCCAGCCGAGCTCTACTGAATCCCTTGTATTGCGCGTCACTCAACTTATAAACGGTTAACACTTCCAATGGTTCTCCGATTTACTCCCTCATTCTCGCTGGCCGCCTGAACATCGAAAAAAAAATTGTTCACCTCATATCCTTGAAAAGTGGCCGACGCAACGCATACATTTGGCTCGCTAGACGCCGCGCTCACCACTCGTATCAAACAAGTGCTCTACGATTTTGCTACCCACGACGTGTCATTAGACGCCCTTGTGCGTGTCCAGCGGTTGTAGTCCAAGTGATGTTCTTGGCGATAGCGCCGTGCTCGTGCCTCTCCTTATGGATGCAAAAGGGAAAGATCCGTTGCTAATTAGAGTCCTATCTAATTCTTTCAACGCGGCCACGGCTCAGTTCCAGTTAGGAAATAATAGCTTCTATATTTTTCTGTCCCACTTGCTAGTCGGAACCGGCGGGGGGTTCTCTAATATGTGGAAGCCACTTGATTAATGCTTGATCGTGGATGTTAAGTGATTGAAAAAAATTTTCGGAGAATAATGCAAAGATTAAAGAAATGCTTCGTATTCGCACTCAAAAGACATAACCAATTGTAATTCCCATAGCAACCTCCTCTTGCAGTGAGTAGTGTGTTGACAGAATCAAGGGCATGATAAATGGTGTAGAAAGATAAAGGAGGATATATAGCGACGTAATGGTAGAATAAAAAATTGAACAAATAATGTTGTAAAAGTGTATAAATCTGTATAGAAGAGAATTTTAGGTCAGCAATAGTTTTGAACATAATGTTGCGTATCGTAATACTCAGCCAATTTGAATATGTACATTAGAGCAGATATACTATGCTAGTGAAAGATAAATATAATAATTAAAAGGCAACGATATAGATAAACTAACTTGTAATACTAACTACAAATTGAGAATTTTTTAAACTGCTTTGCATCCCATATTTATAGCTAATGAACTTGTTTTTATAAATACATTAATAATATTAGAAGTAATGAAGTTGTCTTTATAACCATTATTTTTAAGATTTGTACCATTTCGCTTATTTTTGAAACAAAAACATCAAAGTTACTACAAGTATTAGAGATCCTTAGTGTTTCTGTATATATAACAGCACCTTTAGTAGTGTTTGAAATATTAGTATCACTATGTGGAAAGCGTATAACCTTGAAATTAAAATCATCAGTTTTATTATAAAGTTCTGTATATATTCTATTATTAACTATATGAACTTTTTGGTCAAGGTTTTGGTTTTTTTGGTTATAGTTACTAGATGTATCTCTTTTTTCTGGTTTTTGGTCTTTTTGGTTATAGTTACTAGATGTATCTGTTATATGCGTTTTCTTTAGCTCAAGTTTACTATTATATACTTTATTCAATTCTGCTTCTAATTGAACTTCACATTGATTATGAATAATTAAGAGGTCATCCATATATCTGAATGGCATAAAAATAGTATTATCTTTACATTTGTGCCTTTTTGCGTAATTATATTCCAAAACAGAAAGTGTGAGATCTGCCAAAAGAGTCGAAAGAAACGCATGTGAGAAAACAGTTGGTCAGAGAATTCTTAGAGGCTTTCTTTTGTATGATTCACAGACTTTTAAGCCATCAAAAACTAGCGGTAGCATAAACGATCGGCGAGCACTGCAGTAATGGATTCCAATAATTTATCAAGCTTCATACAATAATTCAGGGGAATTTCCCAAGATGCTTCGTCCTTTCAACTATGTTCACTTATCGAAAGATGAAATCGTTGGCGGTTTCTACGCGTATCATTGCCTGTCGAAGGTGAAAGATTGCGACTGCAGAACATCAAAGGTAACTGTGGAAGTGTGTTTTTCTATTTCTCACTATGTGCATCACGCGGCCACATGTAGGATTACTTTTTGCTTGGTTTATTTCACAATTTTTCAAGTTCCCAGGATGAGTTATAAATTTCTCGACCCAAAAAAAACAACAAATATATGAAATTGCTGGAAAATTAAATCACTTTGTATGAAAAGTTGTAATTACAATTTAAAAACTCTTAAAAAGGTTTTTTTGAATACAAAGCTACGATTCAAAAACTGTGTTGACGTTTCACCTCATCATAACTTACGTCGAAGAAGAAAAGAAACTTCTCCGTCTGAAGAAATCTTGAAGAGTGTGTAAAATGGATACAATACTCGTCTCTGAAAAGGGACACATGGAAGCTTCAATTTTTAGTTTCGCTTGCGATACTCAAGGTAAGCGGGTGGGCTGCACGAGCTTCCAGCCTAATATGGATAGTACGCTTTCACAAGAATGATCACAGTAGTCTCCAGCTCTCTTTTTTTGACCTCGACATTTTTTCTGCCGGTCGTAGTTTGATAGATGGAACATTTATTCAGTAGGCCTAATGTTTCGACAAAATTGTCATCTTCTGAGGTCTAGGATTCCACCGTTTATGCGAGAATCCCGCTTCCACACAAAAGCTTCTGTCAGCAAAAAAAGTAAGAAAAAAGGCGATTTTGTCGGGACGTTAGGCCGATTGGAATGCTCCTCCTATCTACCTCGAACGGCAGAAAAACAAGCACTAATGATCGCAGTATCTGTTCTATGCGTACCAGAATACCACCAGTTATGAGCTTTCGTGCGACTCGTGGTCAAACTTATTTGAGGCTTTAAAAATGCTCGAGTTCTTCAGCAGTTATAAGTGAACGTCGCGAGCGAGGCCATTTAGACCTTAGCACCGTATCAATCATGAAACAAGAAGTACGATGGTGCATTTAAGGGTATTTCGTGATGGCCGACGACACGACTTTCAATTTCTGGAATGAGGTTGACTTAACGGTCGCTTTTCATCCATCCTTTGGCAACAACAACGCTAACAACTGGTGGAGCCTTGACGTGGGTTAGTTTCAAATCGTTTCTAACAAATCTTCTAAGCAACATGGCCATCAGCATTCTTTTATTTCCCAGTACTCAGAAGTTTAGGCTTGAAGGCTGCGGAGAGAGTAGTCAACTTATTCGAAGAAAAGTACAAGAACGACACTCTGGTGCAAGCAGCTTGGGCATATTTCGGTGACGGAGTGGGTTTGAACGTTCGATCAACCAAGCAAATTATGATCTCATCAATATTGAACTATTGAGTCCCAAAATAATCAAAAGGGATCCAATACTTTTGAGTTATCTTATAAATCTTGAAGGAGGACTGTACGATTAGAACGAAGGTCGAAGAAAGCGAGCCTCATCTAGTGGGGAGAGAGAGGGTTCCTCATGCGTGCGGACCAATACGCCATTTGCATCAAAGGATATGACTAAGTGATTAAGCATAGCCTTCCCTTCGGCGCTATTGGCCGGAACGCCCACCGACTATCTTATCACTCGCCGCAGGTCTATAGTGATTAGATAGCAGAGAGAGCGTAGTGTTGAAGAGGGCACAGCGATGAGAGTCGCATCAATGCGCAAATCAACGGGCAAGGAAGGGGTCCCATTTCTCGGGTTCCGGGCCGTTTCTCATGGTTTCTTCTTCATCCCTGCTCCACTGACCACTTCTACCTTTATTTCCAACAAGCTACCTTTTCTTCGCAATGTCCACCTTTAATACTAATCTTCTGTTAATCTAGTATCGAAAAAGAATGGGCACTAACTACAACGCTTCTACTGCACTGACGCTGAAGGATGGTTGGTCCGTGACTGATCTGTGAGTCTTGTCAAATCCATGCCTATTCCATTCTTTGAAGTTTGCGCTCAACCTATTGTTACACTTCTTCATACTTTGTGGTCGAGCGCACTAGCTTCGCCTCTCGAGGCGATCTCAAAGGTAAATCAAAGGCATAATGCGGAACAAAAATTGTGGTTGTTTTGCTAGAGAATAAAAGCAGAAAATGGTAGTCCATCTCTACTCTTATCTTCCCTTACAGCCTTTATCTTCGCGAGATAGACATCGCTACGACGAAGAGACACAGCACAGTCAAGAGAGAGCATCGATGAAAGAGTGTATCTTACGAGAAGACGCAAATATCTCGCCTGCTGGTGGTG